ATAGTTCCTTTTGATGATCTGCATAGAATCACATTCTGAGTCGATTTATGCATGTCCGTCCGTCCGTCTGTCCATGTATTTTTGTAAACAAAGTACAGTTCGCATTTGTTGCCCTATCCAGATGAAATTTTGCACAAATCATTTGTTTGGCCCAAGGACGAACCCTATTTAAAATTTCAAAATTTAGATATAGCTCCCATATATATCTTCGTCCGATTTGCATTTTATTGTGCACCAAACGTGTAATATCAGTAGCAAGTGTCCCATACTTCGTCATCGAAAATTCCACCTTAAAATTTTAGATTCTTTCCAAAAGTTCGTGTTTGATCTTTTAAGTACTCAAAATGCACAAAATGTTCAGTTTGATACAATTTTTTAATCAAAACTTCACATATAGTACCAAATTTGGTACCAAAAATTTCACGGTTTCCCTTCAGCCAATATCAAACCCACCCACCTCCAAATCTCAATCCCAAACACTAAGAAATAAAAAAGACCTCAACATCAAACATCGGGATTTTAGCTCTATCCTTTCACCAATTGGTACTTTTCAAAAAAATAATAGTACGCATTTCCAAAGCCACCTTTACATCTTATTCAAAACCACCTTCATATCTCTATACCAGATACCAGAGACCTTAATATCAAATTTGATGATCCATCCCTATCCCTTCACCCAATACCAAATGTGGTTCAAATTAGTACTTTTCGAAAAACTATAGTATGTATTTTCAAACTCACCTCCAATCTCAACCTCAGATACCATCAGTTAACTAGTATCTCAATCCCTTCTCCTGTTACCAAAATTTAGTATCACTCAATACTTTTCGTATAATTATAAAACACATTTCTGAAACCACCTCCATATACGCCATACATGAAAAGCTACCCCAATACCAAAATTCCGACTTCATGTACTATGTACACCGAATACCACATTGTACCAAATATAGTACTGTTTAGTACTTTAAGTTCACTTCTAGTACACATTTTCAAGACCACATCTTTATCAAAAACTTACAACCAACAGGGATGCCAAGAAAAAAATCAAAATTATAGCTTCAAAAACTGTTTAGAATTTAGTTCCATACAGTTCGCACACTTAATACACCTTTCCAAAACTACCTTTATATATCAAGCTTATTTTCCAACGTAGTTTCCCACACAAAATTTCAAGTTTTTAGCGTTATCCGTTCACATAATCCCCAATGGTACCATTTTAGTAGTTTCCTTACATTTTAAAACATTTCTTATATTTAAAGTGCGAATTTCCAATAAACCTTTGATGCATCTATCCTCCGCTCTATCAGTGACTCTCATTCCAAATTTCAGAATTCCAGTTCAATCGATTCATCACAATTTCAATTTGTATCAAATTTTATACACATAAGTACGCATTTCCAATCTTTTAACTACAAACTCCAGTGAGATCAGTAGGAGAATGGTTGGAGCCGTTCGTGGGTAAATGTGGTTAGAATGACTAAGACCAATTTGGACAATGTTTTGTAGGCATTAGAATCCATTACCAACTACAAATACCAATTTTTAGAAAAATCAGTAGAAAATGTGGGCAAAACCATCAAAATATCGAATATCGGGAGTTACCGTTATACGGGTGGCTATACGAAAACGTACAATGTTCCTCCATCGGAGGTAGAAGCCATTACGAAAAACAAATACCTTTTTATAGACAAATCCTTTAAAAAAATGTGACAAAAATCATCAAAATCAATATATGAAAACGTGGACCTATATATACAATGTTCTGTCACTGGAGCTAGAACCCATCATGAATTACAAATACCAATTTTTAGACAAATCCGTGGAAAATGTAGCTAAATCCATCCAAATACCTAATATCCGGAGGTATTATGGGGGCAATACGAAAACGTGGACTTATATAACCAATGTTCTGTCACCGAAGCTGCAACTCATTACAAACAACAACTACCATTTTTAGACAAACCCGTGGAATAATGTATGTACAATGTTCCGCCACTAAATGGTTGGTCATTTTCAATACTAACCATCCTAGACACAATGTAAACTACTGTGCCAAATTTTAAAGCTCTATGTCAAATAATGTGAGCTATATCGTGATTTCAACAGACAAACGGGCATCGTTAAAATGAATTAGAATTTTATGCTGATCATGAGTATATATACTTTATATGGTGTTACAAACGAAATGACAAATTGAATATACTCTCCTTTCCAAGGTGGAGGGTATAATTATGATTAAAAGTGTCTTTATATGACAATCCAATCCACTCTATATTGTAAGCGTTTATAATGATAGTTCTCATCAAAGGTGAAACTATTACCGCGTAACTCGTATTCCCTTTTATTAAAAAAATACAGAGAGACTTAACAGGTCTTATGGATATATCTCAACATGTCTATAAAAACCATAATACCATTTAATAATCTTTTGTACATGGAATTTATTTCAAAAACCGCTACCTACGTCAATAGTTTTAGCATCTATAAGACTTTTCTGCTGTTTTCAATCCTTATGTACCCACCGTTTGGCTAACATTACTGGAAAAAAAACCTTCTAGTTTTATTCCTTTATCCAGCCATTTCATGTAACTCCAGAATGGTGGAGTGCGCTTTTAGGTTTTCTAAGCTGTTATTGTTATTATTGTTTATGGAAGAATGATGCTTTTTCATAAAAAATAACACACTACAAACTATATACATACATATAATAACAGCAACAATAATAAGAACAACAACAACAGTAACAAAAGCCACAGTGCTGGTATCCGAACCAGCCATAAACACCAACCGAACGACCAATGTGGCAGATGAGGACACGACCATGTCGATGGCTGGTGATAACACCAAAAACCACTCAGGCACCATCTCTCTGACACAAAGACACATACACTCACACACACACACACAGAGAAAACATTATGTCATAGCATTTAGCCATTTTCTCCATTCTTTTTGTTTTTCGAATGAAAAACAAGGTCCTTGTTTTTTTTTTTGGGGCCAACAAATCAACATACATTGTTGGGCGGTCACATGGAATTAACAAAAATAACAATAAATGAAAAGAAAAGAAACAAAAAAGCAACAAAGAAATAAAAAGAGTTGCCTGGCAGAGGGAATACATTAATACACTCTCTGACCATATAATGATATTTTCATCCAAATCTCTGGCCAGAGTTGTGTGCCATTTTTTTATACCTTACACCACAAGGTGGTCAGGGTATTATGTATTTGTGCATTTGTTTGTAACAGGCAAAAGGAAACGAGATAGACCCATAGTTCCTTTTGATGATCAGCATAGAATCACATTCTGAGTCGATTTATACATGTCCGTCCTAACGTCTGTCTGTCCGTCCGTCCATGTATTTTTGTAAACAAAATACAGTTCGAATTTATTACCCGATCCAGATGAAATTTTGCACAAATCGTGCGGTTGGCCCAAGGACGAACTCTATTGATATTGGAGATAATCTGTCAAAATTTAGATATAGGTCCCATATATATCTTCGCCCGATTTGCCTTTTATTGTGCACCAAACGTTTATTATTAGCCCGAATAGTATGAAATTTTGCACATCCAACCAAATTAGGCCTGCGAATAAGTATGCCAAATTTGATCGAAATCGGTTCAGATATAGCTATAGCTCCCATATATATTGCACATCCGATTTGTTATTTTTTTCCTCCGCAGCCGTGATATGCACTCTGTAACAACAATATATGGGGAAATATATCAAATACACCTCAGAAATACCTTTACTAAATTTTATCGAGATCGGTTCAGATTTGGATATAGCTCCCATATATAAATTCGTCCGATTTACCTTTTATTGTGCACCAAACGTCTAATATTTGTCCAAATGGGATGGAATTTGGCATTTACGACCGAATTGAGTCTAGAAGCTAGTAGGTAAAATTTGGTGAAGATCGGTTCAGATATAGCTATAGCTCCATATATATAGTTTATCCGATTTCTTACCCACAGCCGTAATATGCTCTCCGTAACAACGATATTCAGGGAAATATATCAAATACAGCTCAGAAATATCTTTGCCAAATTTTATCGAGATCGGTTCAGATTTGGATATAGCTCCCATATATATCTTTATCCGATTTCAAATTAATTGTGCATAAAAACTTTTAATTGTTATGTGGAGCTCTACTAAATTAGCAAAGCGGTGTAGGGTATCATTAAGTCGGCCCCGACCAACTTCAAGACTTTCTTTACTGTTTTTTTTTTTTTTTTTTTTTTTTGGTATTCTTCGGTCTCTGTCATGCTAATAAAAAAGGACATTAAACGAGGAGCATTGCAACCAAGTACTGTCATTATTTCAAATAAATATCTGGGTTGTTTTTACTCAAGAGAAAAGTTGGTGGGGATAAACAACAAATTTGTGGAGGATTTCAAGTCTGCCTTTAATTCATTTTTTTCCTTCTCAACCTTTCCAACACCTTAACACATTGACCTTTCCATTTTTTGCTGTTCTTCACCTACTAAAATAACGTTATTATTCTGTTATGATGGTCAGTTCATCAAATACTGCTGCGTGATGGCAGCACTTGCTGTTGCTTTTGCTTTTGCTCACAACTCAACATTCCAGCTCTTCATTGGGTATGGCTTCCTCTGCGAAATCTTGAAGAATGTAAATACAAATATTTCTGTCTAAGAGATTATCTGTGGAATGTCAACATTCTTTTGGCGCTATTAAATTCTATCAGCTAAACGAACCAGAAGACAAACAAACACGAAAGTCAAGAGAATTTCTCAGCTCACATAAAGAGCAAGATATGTTAGCCGGGCCAAAGAATTTCACTGAAATGGTATATGGCGATGATGGAGAAATAGAAAGAAACCGAAAGAGACATGTCATAAAAATGAAGCATGTGAAAACATATACATAATAAACTCTAGTCGTTATAATTCCACAAATAATTCGAAATCTGATGAACTCTAAACAGAAGGTATTTTCGTCTTTTTTAAAAAGGAATTTTCTTACTTACGTTTAAGGAAAAAATGTTATCACCTGAAAAATAAAATAAGAAGAAAATGTTTTATTGAATGGATTTCTAAAAAATTGTGGGGTAAGGAAAATATTTACTCGTAAAGGAGTTGTTTACTTTAATGAACAAACTACATGGTAACTGAATATGAAGCCCGGACGTATTAAAGCATAGTTTATAATTTCGGAATTTTGAAAAGCAAAATTTTTCTAACTTGTTTGCAATCATTTAAAGAACGATAATTATGAACGACCTGCACATTGTGTTTTATACTCTTGTTGCGATATGTGTAAATTACTCATTTCGCATTCTGTAAAATATGAGAGGGGAAGTGGATCGCTACTCGAGCCATTATATCGACAAAATTTAAATATAAGCGAAGTTTGAAGAAACCCAAAGGAATCTTCAACCATGGTATATAGCATCACCATGGCACAAAAATACAGGTAGCCTCATCAAAACAGGTGGAATTCAAAATTTTGAATAAAATATGAAATATGAATGAAAGCAGTAAGTTCGGCTGGGCCGTACTTTGAATAGCCTCCATCACTTGGAAAAAATCAGACAGACATGACCATATCGACTCAAAATGACATGGGTCTATTACCGTTACTTCGATGATTCGGGTATAACCCGCATCGAAAGTTGTGTCCAATTTTTTTTTAATTTTTCTAACTTCAGCCATATGGCTAGGGGTGTAAATAATTTAATAATGTCAAAACCTGCGTCAACGAAATAACGGTCTAGGTTTCTTAAATTTTGGAAATTTTCAAAAAAAAGGAGACAGAAATAAGAAGCAAAATCAGTTAAAAATTTCGTTAATACCTTAAAAATAACGAATGTAGGGAGTATCCGTTGTGTTGGAGTCTATTCGAAGACGTTGAACTGCATAAGCATTTTTTTTCATAGGCCATTACAATATTCAAATATGAAATTTGAAACAATTCCGGTGAATAATGCCACCAAAACCGAATATGGGGAGGTACCAATATATGGGAGACATACGAAGACCTGGACCAGCCTAGACAATTTTCTGTCAAAGACTGTAGTACCCATAGCGAACTATAATTTCGAAATTTGAAACGATTTCGGAGAACAATATCGCTAAAATCGTCAAAATACCGAATATAGGGAGCTACTGTTTGTTATACGGGGGCTATAACTATACGTGGACCTATATAGCCCATTTTCAATAGCAACAGTCCTGTAGACGAAACGCACATTTGAGTAAAATATTATCAACCAAATTCAAATCGTTCAAAAGCTAGAGCGATTTCCATAGACGGACGGACAGATAGACGCACGGTTGTCGTTAAATCGAAATAGGGTGATTTAGGGTAGGGTACAGGGTGAGATAAAAAAGAAAAAAAACTGCAACAAAGTCAAACGTCGTTTACAATATTTTTTAAATTTTATTGAATGAAAGCAAACAATGTCGGAAATATTATCAAATTTTAGAATAAGTTTGGGTTTGTTCGAATTTTTCACCTCTGGCACGAATTATCGCCTTCGAATTGCCAATGAAACCGTCACACGCTGCAGGAATGTTGCTCTGCGGTATTTTGACCCATTCCCGGCGAAGCGCTTGCTTAAGGTGATCGACACTTTGGTATTTTTTAGTGCCAACCTGGCTTTCCAAAATACTCCAGACACCATAGTCCAACGGATTGGTGTCCAGAGATTTTGGTGGCCATCGTGTGCTGGAAATGAAGCGAAGAACCTTATTTTGTAATCATTCTTGGTTGACGCGTTCTGAGTGCGATGGTGCTGAGTCCTGTTGGATTGTCCAAGGTCTGCGGCCAAAATGTTTGCATACCCAATGCTTAAATACACCCTCAAGGATACTTTCGCGATAATATTCGGATGCCACGGTCAATTAATATGAGCGGAATGCGACTATCGGCTGTTATGGCGGCCCACACCATCACCATGACCGGCGCTTGAGTTCTGGTGGCTAACCGAAGGTGCACGTTTTCAGCTGACCTCAAGTAAACACGATCATTTTGTTTGTTTACAAACTGCTGGACAACGAATGTTTTTTCATCGGAGAAAACCAAATTCGGTAGTTCTACACTTTCGGCCAAGCGAAGCAACTCTTTAACTCTTTTGAGTCCATTTTCTTTCCGTGGCGGTGTAAGTTCTCGCACTTTTTGGAATTTCAATGGCATTACCACGAGATCATTTATCAATATTGCGATATGTTCAGCTCACAATTTTGAATACTTAAAACTCCTATAAAATGTGAAATAAAAATCCGACTGATTTCGAAGTTAGCATATTTTAATATTCCTATTAAAATAAGATCTGGTGTAAATATGGAATATACAGGACCATTCGTTGTGGTACTTTTTCAAAATAATTCGATAAATAATTATTCTATAATTCTTCTAACTTCGCACAATATAATATCTTCATCTGCATTAGTGCTAGTGTGAATATGGATCTCATCGGTCTATTCTTCCAGGTACATCCTCAACAAAGCGTAAAGTAATAATATTTCTATATAGTTTAAATATGGAATATGTCGGTCCACTCCTACTGGTACCTTCCCCACAAAATATGATTACCAATTAATCCCACAAAACTGGAAATATGTAATAATTGCACATCTTACAATTTTTATCATAATTTTTAATACTGGTGTCCACCCTTTCTCCTACCTCTGCCACAAGATTTCAAAAATTTCCAAAAAATATCTACAATCTTTTCTAATAAAGGGGAGGAAGTTGTCAATACAGTCCAAGCCTGGCATGTCGCAATAATTGTATCACACTTCTACGGTACCGTCCCAAAAAAGAAAAACATTTTGAATAATCAAGTCGAAGTATATTTTATTGTAAGACATAAGCAGAGGCTATATATCTGTCGGCAAAATCGACTGATACTTTTTAATTTGTCTTCATAAAAAAAGGTTCAACTATTTCTCCAGCCCAAAAACCACACCACACAGTGCCACTTTGACGATGCATTTGCTTCTCGTGAATCTCTCAAGGATTTTCCTCACCCCAAATGCGACAATGCTGTTTATTGACGAAACCATTCAGGTGGAAATAAACCTTGTCACCGAACATAATTTTAATAGCATTTCGAATGGCGCCAATTTTAAAAATTGTGTTCTAGTTAAAACCCCCTTTACTATAGTAGCAGGTTTTTTCTGTTCAGAGACTCATAGAAGAATTTAATTTTGGATCACTTTATGTATTTGATTTGCACTTTGATTTTTTCCGAAAATATAGACATTTCTAACGTCATTTTCACAGAAAGTATTTACCTAGATATCTGAGACTCCTAGCGACATTTTTTGCGGAATATTTCTCTCTTTGTCACAGTGCGTCAAAAGCTAAGTTTCATATTACTACCACGCAGAGACTTAAAAATAGAACACCAAACTTAAAAAAAAGACAGAAAATATTGTTTTGTTTTATTCGGCAATATTAAAACAAAAAATTTTTTGATACATAGTGTAAATATAGATTTTATGCCTTCGGCAACTTGGAATAGAATTTTACGTAGAATATTTTTGTCTTTGACGTCATCCCCCTAAAATGATGATTCATGGAACCTTTTTATTTACCCTCGCAATGGTAAATTTTTAGACATTTTTGGAGGATTTGCCCCTTGTTTGGATTTTCAGACAATTCCATTGAAAATGTGGCAAAAATCATGAAAATACCAAATATCGAGAGGTACCGTTGTATGGGGGATTTACGATATCCTGGACCGATGTAGCACATCTTAAAACTTGACCTGCCTGCACACAAAAGATTAATTTGTGCAAAATGTTAGCTTCCTACCTTAATTCGTTTTGACTCTAGCATAATTACAACAGACGGACGAACCCTTTATCCGGGAGATATCAGAAGATCTTGTGCTGATGAAAATATTGAGACGTGCCAAGTCCGAATGGAATCGGTTGTTAATTTCGCGTTTTATAAGTTTAATGTATATCCAAAATTTTGACCCTTTGGGGGGAGGTACCACAAGGAGTGGACCGATATATTCCATTTTCAAACTATATCATATATATCGGACACTTACATCACATCTTATAAGAGTTATAATTATTCGAAATTTTGACCCTTGATGGTGTGGACCGATATTGTCAATTTCCTGATTTAACAGTGATCGAATTATCCCTTTTCTCCCTGTGAAAAAAAATTCTTTTCTTTGAAAATTCGACCTTTTGTGGGGGAGGTGCCCATCTCCGAACTCAATCTAAGTTTGGTAATAATATTACGATGTACCAAGTTTCGATCAAATCGGATACGATACGATATCCTGAAAAGGATTTGGTCCAAAGAGACCTAGGATCTGAAAGCGTCTTTTCGATGCGGCAAATTATGTACCCTCTCGAGCCATACGATATCCTGAAACGGATTTGGTCCAAACAGACCTAGGATCTGAAAGCGTCTTTTCGATGAGGCAAATTATGTACCCTCTCGAGCCATATGGCTGCGGGGTATAATAAAATTGTTTGAAATTAGAAAATCGTAATGTGTAAAATACCCTCTAGCATCAACTTGTCTATATAAGTTCACTATATTCGGATTCTTGAATCTTTTTAAAATTAGGTATTGCTCGAGCTCGATTGGGAAATTTGCATTAATATTATTCCTAGGATGTTTGGCATTGAAAATGGAGTATATCGGTCCAGGGTCCACATTTTCTAACGGATTTGTTTCAAATTCGATATTTTAGATTCTACTTCCAGTGGTCTATAGGAAAAAATAACTTCTTAACTCTTATTCTTTCGAAAACATCAATTTTAAATTGGATTACTCACGAGCGCTCCGTAAAATTGATAAGATTTCACTGATTTTTGTCATTAACAGCAAAAATAACGAAATAAAAGCAAAAATAAAAATAAAAATAATTTTCTTAAATCCTTTTTCAAATGCATTTTGCCCCCATCTAAACATTCAACTTAAAGCTAACTTAAAAAAAAAAAAACATTTCTCACGCCCTTAGGTCACTACAATGTATGCATAATAAAATAATTTTCAAACAGAATTTCAAATCAAAA